CCTGCTGCAAACGGTGGGGTCGAACAGGGCCTTCGTGGGGGGGTGGCTGGTGGTGCCCCTCGCGTCTGTGGGGGTTCTCGGTAGCGGGGCGCCAATCCTTCTGGAAGCTCATGTTAGTTACCGAGTGCCTTTGCGTTCTGCTTCCCCTTGCAGACCTCAGGACGCCCCAGCGGTACTGGCGCTTGAGGCGGGGGGTGGCAGGGGTTATGGTGAACCTGGAAGACTTCCCAGGGGCAGTACACAACAGGGCCAAACTTCACCCGCTGCGCCTTTCGCTTTGTCTCTCTGAGGCCTGCTCGTGACTTTCCAAGCTTTAGTGGGTGTTTGTCCCAGGTCTGTGAAAAGACTGCCACTCCTCCTCTCTGCTTGTTTCTGAAAAACTAGTAAACATTAACAGAGAGTGTAGGTAAAGCTGCAGCTGCACTGCCAGAGGCCCTCAAGAGACTCCAGAGGTGGGGACTTGTACAATATAATGAGGCCCTTCCTCAGAAAAAGGGAAAAAAAAAAAGCCTAGGTCCTTCTGGCATCTTTGTCCTTCCCCACTGCAAGGCGGGGGGGGAGCACATACCTTGAGCCTCCAAGCAGTGCCTTGCAGAATTTCATAGTCTGGGGTACTGGGCTGCTGAAAGGTCCCTGTGAATGAGCAGTGCTGCGGCAGTGTCCCACCTCTGCTAGTTAAATGAGATCCCGGTTCCTCCTTTGTTAGCGAGGAAAATAGCAGTTGCCCCTGGAAGTGGTCCATGCCCTGCCATCGTGGTCCAGGTGTGTGGGCTGTGGAATGAGCCCTGTGCTCTGCAACTCTGTCATGGTGATTCTCTGCTGCCAGATCATGGTTTTCATCCCCGGTATATTTTATAATAGAGCCCTGAGGGGTTGTTCGTGCAAATCCTGTAGATATCTGGGCAAACGTAGAAGCTGCTGTTTATCAAAGCTATCGTCCTACCTACATCTGAGTTGCTGAAATAAGACTGCCTAGAGGAAAGACCTGCACAGGTAGGAAACTGCATTCAACCGATGTCTTTGGGATGAAAATACAGTTGCTTTTACTCAGCTTGTTATTGTTAATGCTTTTGGGAGGATTACTGGGAACCGATGTAAAAGGTTTTGATAGTCAGAAGCCTGGGAAAATGAGTTCAACTGTATTTTTAACTTTCAAAACTCGACTGTCTATATTCCATTATTTGATTTTATCTATATTTAGATTCTGTTTGTGCATGATTTGATTTTAGTCAGGCTACTGTTACTGTTAGTAGTACTGTGCTTGATTGGGAATACCGAGGCCTTGATGTTCCAGTGAGTTCCGTATTGGATGGAGGTGAATAATGACTAGTCAAGTACTTGGGAATTCTACTTCTGGGCTACGTTGTCATCTTGAACCCTTCAGGAGCTTTGAGTCAGCATTCCCCTTTCTTACCAAATACTATGAGATAAAGAGGAATCTGTTATGCTGTTCTATGGGGTGGCATTCTCAGACACTTTTCCTGCAACCAGGGTGTCTATGAGATTGAATGTTTAAAAAAGTTATTTGCAGTAACTCAGCTTTTAAAGCAATTTCAGAGCTGTGCTTTAAGAAACTTGCTAAATGTTAGGATACTTGTGATCTACTACATATGCTAATATTGCTGGTCTTGGAGGTCGGCTCACAGAGCCAATTTTCTTAATGTGTTTTTGTGTTGGACACTTAGTGAGAATTCTTCCTTCAACCATGGGTGGAAAACATTCACAATTCTGGAAAGCACCTGACCAAAAGGAGAGTGAAGGCAAACTCATCTTACCCGGGCAACTGGCTGCTGAAGATGAAATTGCCAATTATGCTAGTATCAATGACTCTGCTACGTCCTGCATGGGCATTGCACGTCGAAGCTGTGTCAACTGTCCAACGTGTCAGGGAACAGGAAGGATCCCCAGGGGTAGGTGATTCTTCCGTGTGCCGTGTCAGCGCTTTTTGAGCCTACTGAGATTGGTATGCATCTCTGCCTAAAGGCTTTGGTTGCACCAGCTGGTCTTTATTGTATCTAGTCTAGGAACGACCTGTCTTGGTACCTTCAGCTCACTTGTCACTTCTGTGGGCTGCTTCTGCTGGGGGAGGATGGGGTGGGAAGGCAGGTAGTGCTGTTTCTAGACAATTACTTAAAGCCTACTCTGGAGTCCCTGGGGAGTTGTTGCTTCTGCCCGGAGATGGGAATGCTCAAGCTGAAGTCTTAGTTGCATCACACTGGCCTTCTAATTGGACAGCATCACCTGTGAAGTGAGTGCAGATGGACACTAGGTTGCCATGCAATGTGCTGCAATGCGATTTGCTTGCTTTACTTCTGTGCTAAGTGTGGTCTCCGATCTGCTGCTCCCTCTTTCAGAGCAAGAGAAGCAGCTGGTGGCTCTGATTCCATATGGTGACCAGAGGCTGAAGCCTAGACGAACGTAAGTCCTGTTAAATTTTCCCCTTTTCTGATCTTTTGAACGTTTCTTCTGTATGTGAAGAAAAGCCTCAGTCCTTTAGGCGTTTTGCTCTTTGTGCTCTGTCTTGCTGCAAGTTTGGTATTTACTGTGTCTTTTCAGCAATAGCAGATGTCGGACAGTCTTCTGTGTGCAGGTGTTGGGGATCTCTAGCAATTTGTACTGTAATGCGCTGTCTTAGCACGTGGGACTCTACCCTGTTTCTGCTGGCAGCTGGCAAATAGTTCTGCACAAAGCCGTCCCAGTTTTCTGGTACCCAAGCTTTTACTGTCTCCCCCCTTTGAGCTGGAGTAGAACTGCAGGTGCTTGCAGCTGACAAACCAAGAGAATGATTGTGCTCTGGTGCTGTTTTGCAGGAAACTCTATGTATGTATTGCGGTGACGATCTGTCTGCTGACAACATCTCTCAGTATTTTCTTCCTGTTTCCTCGCTCCGTTACTGTGCTGCCTGCAGGGCTGAATGCCTCCTCTGTTGGCTTTAATGCCACCACCGCCTGTATGTACCTCAACATGACGGTAAGTGCTCAGCTCGCAGTCAAAGAGTGGCTCTGAAGGGCTCCCTGCTTATCCTCTGTGCTATTCCATCTGTAGGCTAACATCACAGTCTGAAGTTAGTCTTACCATTCCCACCATCTCAGTCCACTCTCTGGCTGCTTGGAATCAATGCCCAGGGTGTGTTATAGCATCAGAGGTGTGGCTGGCCTGGCTGCGAGCGAGCAAGGCACAAAGACTGGTCAAAGGGGCTGTGTAGAGAAGCAGCACTGTGATTAATTCTGGGAATCCTTTTGCATCCTTAAACTCATAGAACGGTTTGGGTTGGAAGGGACC